GACTTGTAAAAATGTAGTATTTAATTTATGTTATGTTCAATACTTCCCTTAATATGTAAATATACATATTGTGTCTGATACACTAGTACATATTTATAAAGTGTGTAGTTGATACAAAATATGCTATGGGGAAAATGAAGTCAAGCCAGCTTTCGGAGAGAGAAAATTACCTGTGCATTACTAATTCCCCAAATGACCTTGGGCTAATTCTCTGCCACATCTCCTTATCTCTTTAGATTACAATAATCTAAATTGAGAGTCTCAATTTACCATGCAACAGTGTTTCCTGGTATAATTGGGAGTGGTTGAAGACCACTTCAAAGTCTGCTAAGCAATAATTTCATAATTACTGATTATATAACAGTCGTTTTGGTATAAATAGCAGATATATAGTTTCTGTTATATTTAAGTTTTGAAATTAAAAGGTATGTTACCTTCAAGCCTGACATCTACCTTTGTTTAAACATGCAAATCTAATCAATTCATGCATTTGTGTTAACTTTTGGACTAATACATCATTCTTTAGGCAATGAGTTCATAAGCCAAGGTAAAGGCAAAGAAATCATAGAATCTAATTATGATTGGGGTTTCTCAGTACTGGTAATAATTTAGTTGACCTTCTGTTGCAGCGGAAGAATACCACCTCCCAGGCACAGGTCTGAGCTACACGCTGGCAGCTGATGTGGGGATATTGAGTAGAAACATCAAAATCGTGGGTGAAGATTACCCAGGTTGGGCCAAGGAATCTTTTGGTGCACGAGTCCTGATCAGCTCATTTACAGAAAATATGATGACATTTAGAGGTTTGGTCCAACACTTTATTTTTTCTACGTGAAATATAATATGATTACTTCTAATTTTCATAATTCTTCAATAATTCTCCATTTTTCTATGGGGCCATATGGAAAAGCAGTCTTGAGAAGAATTAAGTAGCCCAGGCTTGATCTTCCAATCAGATTTCCTAATGTGATTAGGAGTTATTATTTTATCTTCAAAGACCACAAGAATTACTGACAAGTCACTTTTGATAACTGCTTAAACTAGCCTTGTACCTAGGCAAATATAAAAATACCATGTGATAAGAAGTACAACAGATTATCTGCTTGTTCTATTTTGTTTTAAAGAAAACATCAATGTCTATCCCCAAAAGAGGAAACCGTTTAATTAATCCTAATGTGCTCATTGCCAGTTGAATAGTCATGAACTTTAGCTGATCTTATTTCTCTATTCCTTTCCACCATCATTTCATCTACAAATAGTTCAGGAAGGAACTCAAAGGGTGGCACAGGCTTTCTAGTCCCATGAAGATGTATTGCCTCAGAACCCCACGGGGCAGTTCTACTCCGTCCTCTAGTGTTGCTGTGAGTTGGAATTGACTCATGGCAGTGAATAATCTGTAATACAAATATCAAACCTATTAAAATGGTAATAATAGTTACTCATCAAATACCAGCTGGTTCTTTCCTTTCTTCCTTCTTTTAGTGTTAAAATCAGAATCTAAAAAAATCCATGTTGTCATTGATTCTGAATTTTAAGTCCCTTTGATTCATTTCTCTTTCCTTGCAATTTACCTATCAAAGTAGCTGGGTCACCTACGCAATAGAGGTTTAGTCTGGAATGTCAGGATTGCATCCCTGGAACTGAAATTGCTCTTCTTGCCCTTGTATTTCCAGTGTATGAAGAGTTAAGAACTAGAGACTTGGTCAGATTCCGGGCCAAGTTTTAGGAAGTCTTTTTTAAAGGTGGTGGTGTGTTTTCCATTTCTCCCTTGGAATAGCTGCTAATGATCACTATGAGAACCCATTAAAGCACTGCTTTTAAATGGTGAAATGCTAATCCCACCATTCCTCTCTCCTTGGTAACCTGGAATGCTTCCATAAAAAGAAGTTTCCTAAGCAAGTAGTTTGTCTAAAGGGAAGTTCATACAGGAAAGGCAGGGAAATGCTCTATTCTTTCTTTTACTTAATGGTTTTCTAGATGATGTGTTGAACTAGGCATTTGTTGTTTTGTTTTATTGGTATTATTCTGAGCTCAAGGATTTAAAACAGGGCTTTGAATTAGTTCATTCTAATTTGGCCCCTTGCTGAGCATTTGCAGTGCCATGTCAGATATACAGAATCAGGATCTGTATTTAAGAACACCTCTTAGTGATTCTTACAGATCCAGTTGTGTAGATCTTTTGAAAACCTAGATTCTGATTCCGCATACATCTGGTAAAAATGCCAATTCTTAGCAAGGGTTGAACTGGAATGAACAGGTTCAAAGTCTTGGTTCCAAACTATTGATGTGGGCTCAGGTAGAAAGCAAATGTTTTGAGAATGATGATGGCAACATATGTACAAATGTGCTTGACACAATAGATGGATGGATGGATTGTGATAAGAGTTGTGCGAGTCCCCAATAAAATGATTTTTTTAAAAATTGATGTGATCTAATCCATTGTGGTGGTTAATTGTGAAAATGCTCCACTGTTGGTCTTTGGAATCTTTTCATGTTGATGTGCAACACCTTTTGACATGACTTAGTTTGATTACCTGGTTGCTTTCAGACTGTACCGTCTGAAAGAAAAGATATAAAGATATTGCCCTAAAAGCTCGTCCACATCAGAACTGAAGTGTTGGATCAAGTGTACCTTGTGCCTTGCATTCTCAAAGGGGGCCCTATCACCCCAATGTGGTCAGAATTTGGTCCTTGGAGGACAGCAATTTGAGATATTACCATGTTTTTTTACCTTGCAAGAGACCACTATACATTTAAAGGTATTCGGTGTGCTTGTGGCATTAAGATGTCATAGAAAGGGGTGGGGGAGTTAGGAGAAAAACATCTAAAAAGACACATCAGTAGGTCAATGAAAAAAAGTTGAGAAACACTTTTTTATTGGGGTTAAAGAAAGAAAGGGAAATAAAGCAATATGATTTCCATGAAATTTTAAAGCAATTTTGGGTAAGTTTTTTAAAAATATGTATTGCTTAAAAAAAACTATGTGTTTGTTTTATTAAAAAAATTTTATTTCACTATCCCCCACCTTTAGGAAAAGCAAGAATAAGTAATGTTGAATTTTATCACAGTGGTCAAGAAGGCTACAGGGATAGCCCTGATCCAAGATATGCCATAACATTTCTTAACCTTGGACAGGTTTGTACTCCATTTTTAATCGCTTCATTGGTTCAGACTGAGTGTTTTATGTCTATTTTCTCTTTCACTAACTCTACCAACTAACCAATTGACGGGAAGAGGTCCATGTTTGTGCTCCTTACAGAGAAGAGTGCCTCACAAGGCTGTCCAAACTGTAGGGAAATATCACTGATGCCGCACCCAAGCAGACTGTTGTTAGAGACCGCCCCGCCATGGTTGTAGTGGTCCACCGACAACGAACTGCCAGAGCTGTGGCCTGACTCTGAAGAGGACAAAGAACAAGGGCTATCATTGCTGATCTTAGCTAGATCTTCTTTCAAAGCAAAGGATGCTAGAAAGATACTTGTGTTTTATTGACTGTGCAAAGGCCTTCAACTGCATGAACCATGGTGAGCTATGCATAACCTTGAGAAGAATGGAAATTCCAGAACATCTGATTGTGCTTATGTGGAACTTGTACATGAAGCAAGAGGCAGTTTTGTGAACAAAACAAGGGAATACAGCCTGGTTTTAAAAATGGAAAGGGTCATATCATTTCACTGTGCTTTTTCATTCTGTGTGCTCAGCGAATAATCATAAAAGCTGGATTATATGAAAAAGAATGTGCACCAAGACTGGAGGGAGGCTTATTAACAATCTGTGATACACAGGAGACACAACCTTGCTTGCTGAAAGTGAGGAGGACTTGAAGCACCTGCTGATAAAGATCAAGAATTGCATCACAAGGGTGGGACGGGGAGAGGGAGGATAAAAAAAGGAGCTGATACCAAGGGCTCAAATCGAATGTAAATGTTTAGAAAATAATGATGGCAATATATGTCCAAATATGCTTGATGCATATTTGATGTATGGATTGTTGTAAGAGTCCCCAATAGAACGATCTTTAAAAAAAGAATTGCAGCATTCAGTATGAATTATGAATCAATGTAAAGAGTTGACTGAATTTCTCACAACTGGACCAATAGGTGACATCATGATAAATGGAGAAAGGGTTGAACTTGACAAGTATTTTGTCTTGCTTACACCATAATCAGTGCTCATGAAGCAGCAGTCAAGAGCTCAAAAGACTCATCACATGAGGTCCATCTGCTGCACAAGACCTTTAGCGCATTGAAAAACAAGGATGTTACTTTGAGGACTAAGACGTGCCTGACCCAAACCACGGTATTTTGTATTGTCTCATATGCATGTGAAAGTTGAACACTGAATAAAGAAGACTCAAGAAAAATGGATGCATTTGAATTGTGGTCCTGGGGAAGAATATTGGAAGTACCAGGGACTGCTAAAAGGACCACCTAATCTGTCTTGGAAGAAGTATGGCCAGAGTGCTCATTAGAGGCAAGAAATGGTGAGACTTCATGCTATATACTTTGGAAATATTGTCAGGGGCAACCAGTCGCTGGAGGAGGACATCATGCTTGGTAAAGTGGAGGGGCAGTGACAAAGAGAAAGGCCCTCAAGCAGATGGACCGACACAGTGCCCACAACCCGGGGTCAGGCATAGAAACCACTGTGAGGATGACCCAGAACTGGGCAATGTTTCATTCTTTTGTGCATAGAATCACTGTGGGTATGAGCCAACTCGGTAGGACCTCACAACGACACTAAATAACCATATCTAAAAATTGTTAAAAACCATAATCTAATACAATGAAATGTTCTGGGATGTTTTTCTTAATAATCTTTTTCACTAACAGCAGCAGTTGATTCCACCCATGTTATGCATCTGTTTAAGTTCAGCGGAAGAGCCACGGAAAAGTAGCACAGCTAAAACTGTAGATGCATAAAATATGCATTCTTGTTCTTTTCTATTTTATCTAAAGTAAATATGCTTTTGCTTTATTTCATCATAACTTCAAGGTATATGGAAATTTCCCTATAGAAAAGATACGTTTTCATTGAGTCCCCTTGTTTTGTAGATTGAGGAACGGGGCTCATCTTATGTCCGAGGCTGCGCTTTTCACCATGGCTTTTCTCCAGCAATTGGTGTGTTTGGGACCGATGGACTGGACATAGATGATAACATCATTTACTTTACAGTAGGGGAAGGTAACATAATCTCATCTATAAAACCTGTAAACAATTGATCTTCCTGAAAGGATGGCCATGTTCTAGATCGGCACTAAAAAAGCCCAAGTAGCTTAATACTACTGAATCAATGCTGACTCATTGGGTCACTATAGGTCAGAGTAGAGCTGCCCCTTTGGGTTTCTGAGGCTGTGAATCTTTATGGGAGCATAAAGCCTCATCTTTCTCCTGCAGAGCTGCTGGTGGTTTTGAACTGCAGACCTTGTATTTCCAGCCCAACACATAACCCACTTTTCTACCAAGGCTTCTTACATTTGCACTAACATAGTAATTAGTAAGTCACAAAGACTATTGAGCTCTGGACATGTGGTTCCTGTGACTGAGGGACTGAGTTTTTTCATTTTAGTTGTCCTTAATTTAATTTGAATTTAAATAGCCACATGTGGCTATGGTTAAGGACCCCTGGTGGTACAGTGGTTAAAGCATTTGTCTGCTAAAGGACCAGCCACTCTACAGGAGAAAGACATGTCAGTCTGCTTCTGTAAAGGTTTACAGCTTTGGAAACCCTGTAGAGCAGTTCCACTGCTCCTGGAGGGTGGCTATGAGGCAGAATCTGCATGGTGGCAGTGAGTTTGGCCTCAAAGACCCTATTGAAGGGTGCAGCCCTCAACTATGGAAGAATCCTTATCACATTCTGAGTCCTTGTGAGTCATCTGGTCGTTAATAGCTTAAAGTATGTTATTTTTAAAAATATGTTTCACATGTTTATAGAAAGATTATTCACACATAAAGGTTATTGTCTTCTAGAGATTATATTCAACTTTAGACATTTTGAATATCAGTATAAAGTGTAATGAAAGTTGATTTCATGTCCATAAAAATCACACGTGTATGTTGAGATCTGGAGTGAAGCTCATGAACCCACATATTTTACAAGCACCCCAGGAGAGTCTGACGCAGACAGTCTATTAAAGAGATAGCATTCCATGATCAAAGGTCCTAGGCATAACTCTAAGAGGCTTATTTGGCAAGCAAATCTACAAAATAATTTCACAGAAAAATCAGACATTCTCACAGTGCCCGTGACACAGTTGCATTTGTGTTTGGGGTTCTCTCTTTCCCTCTGTCCTTCCCCCTTTCTTTTGAGCAGGGATAAGAATATGGGGGGATGCCAACAGAGTCCGAGGAAATTTGGTTTCACTTTCGGTTTGGCCAGGAACCTATCAGGAGAGAAAAGATTTGAGTTCAACTCTCTGGCATGCTGCAATTGAGGTAATGTAAGCAAAGTAACCACTCTTACTCATGTTGACCCCATGTGATGGAGTGCAATTGCTTTCATGGTTTTCCTGGAGCCTGAAAGGTCCACAGGTCAAGACTACCAGCTGTTCTGTAGGAGAAAGATGAGTTTTTCCACTCCCATAAAAAGTTAGTCTCAGGACAATGGACAGTGCAAGATACGAAATAACAATATATAATCGATCAAGGATTCACAAGCGTGGAGGGTGGGAGAGGGAGGAGGGAAAAGAGGAGCTTATACCAAGGGCTCAAGTAGAAAATGTTTTGGAACATCAAGTAGAAAATGTTTTGGCAACATCTGTACAAATATGCTGAAACAATTGATGTATGGGATGTTATAAGAGCTGTAACAGCCCCCAATAAAATGATTTAAAAAAAAGTTAGTCTCAGTAACTGGATTAATGATTTCTCAGGGCAAGGGAGTTTGAGGGGAAATGGGGAGCTAATAACAAGGAGTTCGAGAAAGAAGACGTGTTCTAAAATTGATTATGGCAATGATTGGTAATGAGTCTTTTTGATGGAACTATTGAATTTTATGATATGTGGATGATGCCCCAATTAAGCTGTTAAAAAAACAAAAGTTACGGGGACAGTTCTACTGTCTTGCAGGGTCACTCTGAGTTGGAATCAACTCAATGGCAGTGAATTGAGAATCTTCATGGAAGCAGATCACGCAGTCGATGTGGGTTTTAACTTCCTTCCTTTCAGTTAACAATTAAGCTCTTAACTGCATATTTTCAGGCAAATAATTCCTGCACTATATTTTTCTTTAATCTGTGTAACCCTCTCAAACATTAGTTTCTGTGCACTGCACACGCATGGCACAGTGGCTGCAGCCATGGGCTCAGACATACGCACAATGGTGAGGGTGGCGCAGGACAGTGCAGTGTTTCGTTATGTTGTACATAGGATCACTGTGAGTCGGAACCAATCTGATGCACCTAACAACAACAACAACAACATGCACACACAGATGTTACACACATGTGCGCCTTATTGATGTGGGCATATGATATGCTGCAAAATACTGTACCTCCTGTTGGGCTTTCTTTCTGCTGATGTCCATTGTTTAAATCACTTTTTATCCACGATTCTTCAACACTTATCACTGAGAGTCCTGATTTCAGAGTCTCTCTGCTATTACTTTACTTAGTGCCTTGAACATACTGCTTTTAACTCTCTGGATTTAGTTTCCATCCTCATATGAACAATTAGAATGATTTCAGGGGGGTTTAAAACATCCATGGATAAATGGATTCTCTAAAGTCCCTCTCTTGTCTAAAATTGTTATGATTCTATGTAAGGTTTATTTACACTTAGCTGATTGGATCTGTTAGATCTCTCTGGAGCTAGATTTATACCTCCGTCCTTATACCTCGGTCCTTGGCTCCGCGCGAGAAAGAATTCACGCCGAAGCCTGGTTCGTGATCGAAGTGAGTTTTATGAGGGTTAGAAGAAGTTTCAGGTTTACACGGCACCCAAGGGGCTCCTCCCGGACATGCGGCCTAGCTGGAAGCGGCTCAGCGTCCCGCAAAGCGTCCCAAAGTCTTGCCGAAGCTCTCTGCGCCTAAGTTCTCTCTCTCTCCCTTCTCCGGGCTTCTGCCTTTTTAAGGATTCCACAGGGAGGCGTGGTGGAAGACCCCTGATTGACCCCATTGGCTGAATTGAATTTACCTGGCTAGGTGAGCCAATTCAAGTTCACGCTCATGCCTGCCTACCTGTGGGAACCCTGAACATGTGCGGTGCACCACTCCTTTGTTTCCCTAGCTTGGCCCTCTGGGCACGCATTAACGGACATTCCCAGCCCTTTGCTAACCTACCTAACAGATCCTTCTTGGTTTCCATGACGTTTCTTCTTTACTGTAGCTAAGACGACTGGCAGGAAAATGGAAAGCACAGAGAAAGGATTTGGAGGAGGACAGTGTCCGTTTCCCCTTGCTTTTTAACACTTCCCTCTGCATAAGAAAGAAAGGTACTCAACACAGGGATTTTTGAAAGTGGGATAAGGGTTGAGTTTTGTTTTTGTGCAGTTAATTAAGGATCCCTAGTGTCACTGTGGGTTATGCATCGAGCTGTTAACCCCAAAGTTGGCAGTTCACACCCACCAGCTTCCCCACAGGAGAAAGGCTCTCTGCTTCCATAAAGATTTAGTCTCAAAAACCCAATCCTGCTATTAGTCAGGATTTTAACTTGGAGTTACTCATAACTACCTTAAACCAAAACCTGGACATCTGAAATGCACTTTTTACCTCTGTATTAACAAATGTCTTCTTTTCACCTTTTTACAGATGTTAAAACGCAATCAATTGTCAATTCTCATTTTTAAAAATTAACTATAGGTTTGTACATTTAAGAATTTCATTAACTCTCTTCTTATCATAACGTTAAAGGATGAGGGTATTTAGTATGTTCTCAGTGATAGAACTTCTGACCATTTTGCTGATGTCATTGGCAAGAATGAACACGTATTTTCCTTCCGACCACTGTGGCGTGGCATGCATGCCTACCTAGATTTTTTTATTGTAGTAGATTTTGTTTAAACTAATGGTTGATTCTATCAAAGTAGAAGGGCAGCAAAAAAGAGGAAGACCCTCACAAGATGGGTTGACACAGTGACGAGAGGAATGGGCTCAAAGGTAGCACTGTTGTGAGGATCGAGCAGGGCTGGGTGCTGCGTTCTTCGTTTGTATATCAGGTCACTACGAGTGGGAGCCAGTTTGATGGCGCTAACAACATAAATGCTACATTGTTTTCTTAAAAAATAAAAGTAAATACAACATATAAAATATATTACAGACTATAACAAATAGTGCAATAAAACACATAACTTATATAATATGATCATATTCACATTTGGTCTATGGCTTTTAGACCAGTGAATTCAGACCCGCAGATTCTGTGACTGGAATGAAAACCTCCTTAATGCAGCTTTCGAACAAAGTCCGGTATATATAATACTTAGTGATGGTTCAACACCAAGAACTATTGTAATTTTTACATGTGTATCGTGGAATGGAATGAGGTGAACCATGTCTTAAATTTTTCCTTTTGAATATGTCATCATAACTAGAGATTTTCCTGTGTGTGTTATGCATGTACTCTCGTTGTATACACAATGGTTTATGGAAAGGCCTGACCCAAAGCATTCCCTTTATCACTGCACTAGATAAACAGAGGAACCAACACAGTCTTACAAAATAACATCGTTGCTGGATTTGGAAGGGCAGGCTACCGCATTGATGGGGAACCTTGCTCAAGTAAGTCTTTCCAAGTAGAATAACTAATGCTAGTATTTAAATTGTTCACATCTGTTAAAGATTCGTAACTATTGAGTAACTAATACAAATCAGTAACTATTTGACACCTGACTCAAGCCATGGTGTTTTCAATTGCCTCATATAAATGTGAAAGTGGAACATTGAATAAAGAAAACTAAAGAAGAATCAATGCATTTGAATTATGGTGCTGGAGAAGACAATTAAAATTACCATGACCTGCTAAAAGAGTAAACTGATTTGTCTTGGAAGAAATATGGCTAGATTGCTTCTTAGAGGCAAGCATGGCAAGACTTTGTCTTACATACTTTGGACATGTCGTCAGGAGAGACCAGTCCCTGGAGATGGACATCGTGTTTGGAAAAGTGGAGGGCAGGGAAGGAGAGGAAGGCCCTCAAGGAGATGGGCCGACACCATGGCTGCAACAGTGAACTCAAGCAGAGGAATGGTCCTGAGATTGGCACAGGGCTGCGCTCTACTTCACTCTTTGGGGCATAGGGTCGCGGTGGATTTGAACCGACTTATGGTGTCTAACAGCGACAGCGGGTGTTTACCTGTTCGATATGTGGTTTATCTTCCCTCTCAGCACTGAAAGCAGTCAACAATTATTTTAAGACAGCATTTAATTTTTTTAAATGGATAGGCTTTTAAAGATAACTTTCTTTTTCCATGATCATTATCTAAAAGTCTGTGTAACAATGTTCTTGATTTGGCTGGTATTTGAATAGTGAGTATCTCCCCCCATTACTACTTCCACTTTTTTTTTTAGATTATTGAATCTCTAAAACCCTCCCCCTCATCTAAAATTACTATGACTCTGTACTTGAGGTTACTTACATTTCTAAGCAACGTAAAGTCACTGTGCATCAGAATCCACCTGGTGGCAGTGATGCTGGTTTGTTTTTGTTTCCTTTTTTGGTTGGGGAGGTTTGGGAGAATTGGAATCTACTGTATGGCAGTAGGTTTGATTTGTTTTTTATTATTATTATTTTATACAAGCTAAAACCTGCTAGCACGAAAAAGTCAAAAGCTAAGAACACAGAGTCCTGGTGTATTTCTCTTGATCTGATTAGTAAAACTTAAGAATGAACTGAATAATTACTCTTTTGGCAAGGCTGTTGGCAAACAGGAGCATTGACACCTGGTTGGCTAACGGACAGAGTGGTATAGCCCCTATAGGAAGAATCTAGCGGTGTCTGCCTAAGGGGTGGGTAGATATACCTCCCACTCAGCAATCTCACTTCTGATAAGTTGGCCGAGTTGGTTCTACCATGTGTGCGGGTGTCTAAAACCTGAGGCACTTGGTGGGTGTGAACAGAACAGCCTGAAAGTGGGGCCTAAGCTGCATCTTACAGTATTGACAGGATCTAGCCATGTTGAATTTTAAAACTGCCTGTTTCTCTAACCTCTGTGCTGCCCTAGCCACATACCCTAAAGGAAGTATTTACTCTGTGTTCTGGCATATGGAGCTTATCACAATCTTTCCCCAGAGGGCTTTATCCTGTTGTCCAACAGATGCAGGATGCAACCGCTAAGACCCAAAGGGTCTTGGTGCACAGCAGTATTAATAAATCTTCTTTACAATGGGCCCTTTTCATAGCAACTTCCTGCCATTGTCCTGTGACCGTTCTATCATTAACTGGGGTGCACAAGCGCGTGTGCTTGCAATTATTCATCCTTAATGAATCAAGTAAGCCCACATACAGTGTTAGCACCGATCCCCTCCCACTGAATTGAGTTCTAACTCAGGGTGACTCAATAGGATACACTGGAATTGCCCTTAGGGTTTTCAAGACTTTAAATCTTTATAGCAGCAGATTATCACATATCTCCCGCCATGAAGCTGGTGAATTTAAACTGCTGACCTTTCAGTTCGTCACCCAGATATTTCATCTCTGTACCCACAAGCCTCCAGTCACCCACTAGCCAATGGCTTCACTTCTTGATTTGGTTGGTATTTGAACATTAAGGATGTCATCCCACTGCCTCTGTCACTGTTCTTTTTTTGATGGCATATAATCCACATACCATATAATTCATTCGTTTAACAATATTAAGAACAGTTATGTAATCATTACTACCAATTTTAGAACATTTTCTTCTTTCTTGTACTCATTATTAGCTCCTGTCATGCCACTGAAAGACCCAGACATACCATTGAAAGACCATTATTCCTGTTACTGCCCCTAGATTTAACTACCCTGGATTTCATATACAGAAAAACATACCCCCAAATCCAACAATAACAAAGTAAAACAGAGAAAAACGTCAATTGAAAAGAAAATAGTAAGAAGTAGAACACATTTAAAATGGGTCAAAAGGGAGATCAAGTGATAAGGTGTTAAATTTGCACCTCACTGCATCTGCAATCATAGCACCCCTTTGGCCTGGAGCCAGAGGAGAGTCACTGGAGGTTCAATCCACACACATTTCCCCTTCACTTTGTCTTTAACTGAAATAACCTTAAAATGGGCCAAAGGGGAGATCAAATGATGGAATATTACATTTTAATCTAACTACATCTGCCATAATCAACTTTACAATACTCTCTGTCTGATAACAAGGCTTTTCACATCACTTAAGAGTTTAATCTGTACAAGTCAACCATTTGTGTCACTGTTTATTTTGTCTTTTTTAGACTAACAAGTCTCTAAAATCCCTCTCTGGTCAATTGTTATGATTCTGTATTTACATTTCTAAGTATAGAGTTACACCTCTATTTACCAATTGCCACTATTCAATGTTTCCATTTTAAAATGTGTAGTGTTCACAATTGTTAAAATATGCTAGCATGAAAAAAATCCAAGTCCTCCCCCTACCATAGCCACTCCCAGATATCCTGACCTGATCTCCCCAGATTGCCTTTCAGCCGATCACAGTTTAGTGTGATCAATTCTGCCTCCAACTGTCAGGGAAGGCTGTGTTCTTTATTGTCAGGTGGAACTGCCATCTTACCTCTGAATTTGGGGGTTTTCTCCGTATGAATTGTCTCTGGGCTACCAAGAAATCTCATAATATTGTTTTTACAGAGAGAGTCTTCACCCTGGGTTAAAACTTATACAACTATCTGTGAACAATATGATTGATCACAGCATTGCCCTAGCAGACAACTGAAAACCACCTATGTCTAATAATGGTAAACTAGTAGTATAAACTGTGGCAAAGCCAAATATTGAAACTGAGTCTATTCTGACTCAGGTGAACACATATAGGTGTCCAAAGTTGTAAATCTTTATGGGAGCAGACTGCCTCACCTTTCTCCCAAAGAGTGACTGTTGAGTTTGAACCACTGACCTTGCAGTTAGCATTCCTATGGTGTCACCAGAGCTCCTTATTAAAGCAGTAGGGCTTCTGAGAAAATAATGAACAAGAGCACTGTGTATTGATGTGGGAACATCTCTCAAAGAGTCCCAAGTGATAAATGGAGGATGCAGAACGATATATAATACTATTGTGCACATTGTCCATTTTGCAGGGAAAGCACCCAAAAATAATACATTGACATTTGTTTGTGTTTACATTTTAAAAAGAAACACAATATATACAGTCCTGTTTTTTATCTTCTTAAGAGCAAGTCATTTTATGTGGGTTATCTCACTTCATGTTGAACTAATCCTGGTTAGGTATGGAAACATTTTACATATGAGGAAACAGGTTCTAAAAGGTTCGATGATTTTTTCAAAATCTACATATATCGATTCAACAAATATTTAATGAGCTCTACTGCACTTCCTAGGCTCTTGAAATATTCTAGATTGAGAAGGAGCTAGACAGAGCGTCTCCTCATAAAATGTACATCCTAGTAAGAAAGGGGAGACAGTTACAACACAGAAAACAAATCAATAAAATATTAAGTGAAAAAAAAGTTCATTGCAATGTTTAGTGATAAGGAGTTACTTTGAATCAGGTAGTCAGGGGAGATCATCTAAGGAGGTGATGCTTGAAAATTAAATGATTATAGAAGACTAAACAAAAGTTGTGCTGGGGAAGCATTTCACTAAAAAAAGTGTGGCATCCTTTTAAGTTTAGGCTTGTTTGGATCCAGACCACATGCTCTTTCTAATAGAATGTGTTTTTAATCTAATGCAATAAATCAACCTTATGTAAATAATTATACAGTTATTTTGAATAACAACAAAGATAAGTTAGAAAAAGTAAATAGCAAGTAGGGAAAACCATAAGTGGTAGAGCCATGTTCACAAATAGATATATTCAAATCCTATGTTTTTAATGTAAGCAGTGTATTTGAACCACTGACCTTGTAGATAAAAGAAAAAGATAAAAGATAACTGCATAACCCACTATGCCACCAGAGTGTGAGTGTGTGTGTATATATATGTACACACACACACACACACAGCTCAAACCCACTGACATTGAGTTTATTCTGATTCACAGTGAGGGTTTTCAAAGCTGTAAATCTTTACAAAAGCAGATAGCCTCAACTTTCTCCAGAATACCTTGTGGGTTTGAACCACTGACCTTTAGATTAGCAGTCCAGTGCTTACCGGACAGCACCACCTGGGCTCCCTCTCTAAATATAAAACCAAACCAAACTCACTGCTATCCAATTAATTCTGACTTGTGGCAACCTTGTAGGAAGGGTAGCACTGTCCCTGTGGGTTTCCTAGACTGTAACTCTTTACTGGAGTTGAACGCCTCGCCTTGCTCCCTCGGAGTACCTGGTGGTTTCGAACTGTGGACCTTGCTGACTGCAGCCCAACTCAAAACCTCAAATTTATATATACATTTATGTATTTGTAAATCTGTACATTTTAAAATAATTTCAATAATCTCAACTAATACTGTTTACTAAAGTTACATGACATGGCTTTTGATATCAATTTTGTGGCTGTATATTACTTGTCCAGGCCAGGCCAGTCCCATGGAAAAGTGGTTTGACAATGAAGCCCATGGAGGTTTATACGGTGTCTATATGAACCAAGATGGTCTCCCTGGATGTTCTCTTATACAAGGGTTTACCATTTGGTCATGCTGGGATTATGGAATTTATTTTCAGGTAAATGAGACCCATGTTTGTGATTGTATATTTTCTTCTATTATTGTCCTTAGTACTATGTAACCTACAAATTGTATTACAGACCACAGAAAGTGTCCTTATCTATAATGTGACCCTGGTTGACAACGGAATGGCCATTTTCCCAGTCATTTACTCACCAGCTGCTGTATCTCACAAAATCTCCAACAAAAAAGTGCAAGTTAAGGTAAAAAAATGAAAACAGCTTCAAAAAGGAGAGAGAAAACTGTAATATAACTGAAGAGCTAGTGAGAGTGATTTATTTGACCACAACTCCCTGCCTTTGCTCTCGTTGCTTTCTTCCTGGGTGCTTTGCGTCCTCTCGCCTCTCCCCTCCCGCCACCTCTTCTTGCTCATCACCTGCTCATCTTACACAGGCTTATTCATCCACTTCCTGTCCAAAACCTTTCCTGAACTCAAGTAAGGTGTATTGACACTCCCTCCAAAACTGCTCCTACTGTACTCTGCCCAGAAGTCTCAGGATGACAAAAGGGTTTGCACTTGACAACTAATTCATGGAAGTAAAGTCTAGTGACCTGCTTCCGGAAAGATTCCAAACCCAAACCAAACTCACTTACCACTGAGTCAATTCCAACCAAGAGGAACCCTGTCACACAGGCTAGAACTGCCGGGTGGGGTTCTGAGACTTTAAATCTTTATAAGAGAAGATAGCCTCCTCTTTTTCCTTGGGTGCCACGAGTGGATTTGAGCCACTGACCTTGTAGGTATCACCTTAATGCATAGCCTGTGCCACCAGAGCACTCAAGAAACCCCTTGGAGCAATTCCACTGTTCCATGGTATTACCATGAGCTAGAATGAACTTTATGACACCAGTTTGGGTTTGGAGTGGAATCTTGGACATAGTTCTGTCTAATGAATATGACGCATCATTATATATAACAACAGGATTATCCTCTACTGTGTTTAGTCATTCCATTAAGGGCAAAAATCAACTTTGATTAGTTGATGATCTACTTCTTGAAACTTCTGGTTGTCTTTTGCTAGTGTGGAATTTGGTATTGTTCATGATTGTATTTTGATTTGGGAATAGCTCTTATTAAGGCTACGCTGTTGGACCCCTTGTTTCCTAGAGATCATTAATCGTTGGAAGCAGCCCAGCATTTAACTGCTCTGATGTCCTAACAAACGATGATCCTAATATTGAGCTTACTGTTGCCCATAGGAGTTCTAGACCGCCATCAGGTGAATAGTTTGGAAACTTTCAGTTTGGTTTTCATACGAATATATATTTAAATTTCATGACTTTTTTCTTCTATACAAGGTGGGAGGAGTGGAATTTGCTGGCCTACCTTTGCTTCAGCCCATAACATGGCCCCCCGGAAACCCCATGCAGGAATCATGAATTACAATGCCATCAGTGGTCTTTTGGACATCTCAGGCAAGTTTAAGGACAGTCTTATGTTCAACTAAACTCTATAAAAAATACTATGGAGTATAACTATTTAATGGCTCACAAAAAAAATATTTTTTTAAATGAAGGCCTTTTTTTTTTTTTTTTCAATAAACCTGCCCAATAGGACAATCAAAGAAATCAAACATCAGGGTCAAAAGGTTCCCTGGCATCTCTGGGTTACAAATGAGATTCCCTCTGTGTCTTCGAAAATCTTGGAACATTGGACCAGGAGCATACAGCACTATTAGATAGGCATTGAACTGCTAACCAGAAGGTTAGGAGTTGAAACCCACCAGCTGCTTTGTGGGAGAAAGATGAGGCTGTCTGTCTGGTCCTGTAAAGATTGTTAGCCACTAAACCCCTATAGAACAGTAGTTCTCAACCATCCTAATGCTGACACCCTTTAATACAGTTCCTCATGTGGTGGTGACCCCCTACCCTAAAATTATTTTCGTTGCTACTTCATAACTATAATTTTGCTAATGTTCTGAATCGTTAAGTAAATATCTGATATACAGGATGTATTTTCATTATTACAAATTGAACATAATGAAAGCATAGTGATTAATCACAAAAAAATATATAATTATATATTGTGAAATGCTTATTTCTAATGACAAATAAATGAAATGTCTTGAAGCCTGGTGTAGCATGGGTAACAGTCTTCACGCCAGGTACTTTTTTTT